GTGGTAGTGAGAATAAAATCCTAAACCAGGGACCCAGGTGCCTGGGTTCTTTGGGGAACCTGTGGAAGGGAGAAAGCACTTCTCTCCTCCCAAGATGCCACCTCAGAAGGAGGTGGGGCTGACTAGGGGAAAGGGGCCCATACAAAGCTGCTTCTCTTAGAGCTGAGGTGGAGTTGAGGGGAGGGCATGGATGAAGGGGGCTGCCGGATGGAGGGGGGGAGCGTCTCCCTGCTGCCCTACCCGCTCCAGAGCCTGGAACAAAGCTGCTCTTGTCGGCTGCTCTCCACCCGCTGCCCCCCTCCCCTCTGTATAAACACGACCACCTTTTTCCATGACCCCATCTCCAGCCTGGGCGGAGAACCCAGGCATCCTCTGCTCTAGCCTGGGCCCCCAGCCTGCTCCCCAGGAGGCAGCGGTGGGCTGGGTTTCCCTGGCTTTGTGCCACCCTTAGGGGGAGTCCAGACCCTTGAGTCTCCACCTCTCATCCCCAGGTGCCCTCCCTCCACCCCCCTGGCCCCAGGGAGGGGCAGTGCCCAGGAGGCAGGCAGGCAGGCAATGCCAGTGGAATGTGTGTGGGCATCGGAGGGCACGGACAGGGTGGGGCAGAGGGGGAACTGGAGGTGCCAGTTAGGTGGCTTTCTGAGCCAGGGGTGGGGGTGTGCCGGGTGGGGGTGTGTGCCCTGTGCTGCCTACCAGTCTGTAAGCCACAGAGTGTGGGCACATATGTGTGAGCGTGTGTGTGTGTCTAATCGTGACACCAGTGCTACAGGCACACTACCCCCTGCCCTGTCTCTTCTTGCCTAAGGATATGGGACATTGCATGTGGTCCTCAACCTTAACTCTGCATCTGAGGAGTGACAGTAGAGGCAGGAGCCTCAGACTTGAGGACTGGGACCGCAAGTGCCTGGACATGGGCCCAGAGGAGGCTCAGTCATCTCTGCTTCTTGCCCTCCAGACCTCTCCTCAGGTTCCCCTGTCCCCTACCTCCCACAACCATGCATATTCTTACCCTCTGCCCACCTGCAGAGGTTCCCTCCTACATACCGGGTCAAGTTGAGGGGACCAGGCTGTAATTGCCAAAAACAGAGCCGCAGTGTCAGTGGGGCTGTGGACTAGGACTCCTGGGTCCCTGCCCCGTCTCCCTGCCCTTCCTTTGTTCCGTGCGGCCTCCCCCAAGAAGCCCCTCACCTCAGCTGGAGGGAACCAAGACTCACACCCCTGGCTGGGGATATGCAAGAAGGAAACCTGAAATGTGGTTCAGGGAAACTTCACAGGCCCCTGTCCCAACCACTTGTCTCTCCAGACTCCGGGACCCAGAAGGCAAGGATCCCTCTGGTAGAGGCCCTTTCCTTGCTGTCCGATGTCAAAGCTGTGTCATTCCACAGGGGAGGGAGCAAGTTGGACTAGCTTGGTCCAAAAATCCACCCCTCAGACCCTCCAGGGGAAGCCTTAGGGAGGGCAGAGGGCGGTCTTTCCCCACAGGAGGGGACACTGTCTTCCCTCACACTCCAAAGTCTCCCCTCACACTTCTAGCACAAAAGTAGGCTAGAAGCCCCCCAGCTGAATATTCCCCCAAATGCCCTCCCCGCTATTCTCCGAGATGAGGGGGTGATAAAGACTAGCTCAGCGCCAGCGCCAGCTTGTCTCAAATCTTCCTCATTCCCTTTCCCAGATCAGGGCTGACCCCCAAATCAGGGCAGGAAGTCCCCCTCAAACCTTTCGAGACAGCCTGACCAGCCCTGGAAGGGACGGAGCCGGCAGCGCTTCTCGGCGCCCCCGCCCCCAGCCCACCTCACTGGAGGAACCGGGCGTCCCGGGCGGGCGAGCCTGTTCCCCCGACTGACTCACCTGGAGGGGAAGGGAGGAGGAAGGGAGGCCGCGGAGCCCCGAGGTCCCGGCGTCCGGCGGTCGCGGGGTTGGAGCGTCCCGGTGTCAGAGGCTCGCGGTAATGGGGGGCTTTGGGGGGGGGACACCGGCTCTAGGCTGGGACTGTCCCGGGGCCTCTCGGAGCCCGCCCGCCCACGTGACCGCCCCAAAATATCCGACACATTTTCTCCCAAACCGCACACTGACTCTGCAGGCGGGGACACGGAAAATATTTTCTTTCTTTTTCTCCCTCCCCACCCCCCCCACCTCCCTCCCAGCCAGGCTCCCTCCTCCTCCTCCCGCCCTCGCTCCTCCCTCCCCTGCCGCCTGCCCCTGCCCAGCTCCCTCCTTGGTGCCCTGGGGCTGGGGGGGCGGAGGGTGGGTGGAGGGGAGGCTGGGCGAGGAGGCCCGGAGCGCCTGGGTCTCTGCCCCTCCCATTTGCTGGGCTTCCGTGGCTTCATCCCCGGGAGGCCAGGCAGGGCTGGCAGAAGAGGTCAGTGTCTTGGGCCCATGATGCCACCCTTTCTCCCTGGCACTTTCCCCCTTCCAGCCATCCAGGGGGACTGGCTGAGTTTTCTGGCCAGCCTGTGATTCAGTTAAGGCCAGTCTGGTACCTCCCCGGAGCAGGCAATGGGAGCTGTACCCGCGTGCTCCCAGGGGCGAAGTGATGGAGCAGGAGTGTGCTTGGGCAGATGTCACAGTCTTCACCCTTTGCTTAGCCTTCTCCTGCAGGTCACAATAGTCCCTGCTTCCCCTTGGCTACCCCAGATGGTCCTTTGGACTCAAGAGCAAACTGATTTAACTAGTGGGTATGAAGGCAGGAGGTGGGAGGGCCGGGGGTTCAGTTCTGCGTTCTGGGCTCAAAGACCCCCTCCCTCTCCTTCTTCCCTCAGTAAGCCCCAGGAGTTGGGGCAACTGGCTGCCAATCCCCACCTTTAGGCTCCGATCTGGAGTGGGAGAGGCCGGGGAGGAGGCAGGAGGAACTGCGCCGGGAGTAGGAGGAGTCTCCTGAGTAGCTGAGTGCAGGGAGAAGCCAAAGCAGAGGGTGTGCGTCCTCCTCAACCAGCGCCTGCCTGCCCGGTAGACGTGCCACGAAAGTGGTTGACTCTGGGTGTGTGTGTGCGTGCACGTGTGCACACACTTGCACATCAGTGCCCGAAGAGGACATTCTCTGACTTCATCATGACCACCACAGACTCAGTCCTAGAGTGGGAGGGAACCCAGGGTATCAGCCTCCATTCTACTGAGAACGGAGCAAGAGAAAAGGGGTCTGAAGTCCAAGCTCTGCGCACGGACCCAGACACCCCCACAGTCGTTAAGGGTGGAAGTGAAAAGTGTAGAAGGGGAGCAGTAGCAGGGCTGGGCTGAGGGACACACCCAAAGGACCTTCCCCAGCAACAATCCCGGGGTGGCCAGCACTGGGAACGCAGACTCACTCACGTCACGCTTTCCGTACTGGAATTACTCTGCTCTGTCCTCGCTGCCACCCTGGGGGCCAGGTGTCCTCTCTCCCTAGGGAAGACCACTTTTGGTAGCCAGAGTCAGACCAAGGAGAGAGGAAAAGAAGGGGCGTGCTGCGGTTATCTCTGGAGAGCAAGAGACGTCAATGGGGGTACAGACAAGGCCCTCCCTCTCACTCCAGGGGTGGGAAGAGCTGGGAATAGGTACTCTAGGGTGCCGTCCCCAGGTGGCCTGGCTGCTGTTGACTTTGCTTGGTTACCCTGGGAGCTGCTCTGAGCGTGTGGGAGGGGTGGGTGTCAGGGAGTTGGACCCAGGCGTCCAGGCTAGGGTCGGATGTCGCCCTGCCTGTGTGGCAGGGATCTTGCCAGGAGGCCGCAAAGTTAACCCCTCCTGCCCTAGGGGTGGCGGCTCCGGGAAAGAGGGCGGGCCCAGCTGTGGTTTGTGAATGTGGCCCTGATTCCCCACCCACCGCCCTCTCCCGGCACATCTGTACTTGGTTTACAGTGAATGAGTCTCCTGTCCTCATGAACCGGGCGAGGGCACCACTCCCTCCCAGGCCCCTGGCTGGGCATCCTGACACAGAACCGGGCGCCACCCCTTGACGCTCTCCTTGCTGGGTCTCCCCTCTCAACTCTTCCCTTTCTCCCTCTTAGAGGGCTTCAGGGCCTAGTCCCCAGACCAAGAGCTCTAAGGCTGTGCAGTTAGGGTAGCATAAGGGGACCGGGAAAATAAAACGGGGGACGAAATACTTGGAGTGGCCTGGAAAGAGAGAGCAGGTCTGGAATTCCCATCTGGCTTTACTCTCCTCCGTCCTGGTTTGCCTGTCAGTCTGCCCCTGTCCTTGTCTCTGGTGGGTGTTTGTCCATCTATCTGTCTTGGTAAATGTGACTCCGCCCTTCCGACAGCCTCCTCAGTCCCTAGCCAAGGACCTCAGCCAGGGGGCGATGCCCAAGAAGCCCGCCCTGTGCTGGTCCGGCCCCTCAGGATTGCGGAGCCTCCGCCCACGCCCCTCCCCAGGACTCAGTGACTGGGACCTGTCTGGCGGCTACAACGGTTTGGAAGTTAAAACAAAAACCCTATACAGGACTAAGCAACAAGCAAGAGGGGCATTGTGAGGGGTTCAGATTCTTCTCTCTATCTTGCAATAGAGACAGTCTTCTACCCAGGGGTTCCAGAAGGAGGCTTGGGAAGGGGCCTCCCACTCTGGAAACTGGTGGAGAGAGCTCCCCTCTTTCTCTTTCTCTTGAGTCGCCCCTGTCTCTAGGTTTTGTTGTTTGTGGTGGTTCTATTTGGTCACGCTGACAAATTAGAGAAATGGTATCTTGGGGGCCTTAGAATGGGGCTTCCATTACACCACTCACCCCGAAGAGCAGAAGGAGAGGTGGTGAGAGGAAGAGCATCCAGACCCCACCTGCCCTGACTCTGCTGTGTTGACCCAGCCCAAATTTTCACCCTCCCTGCCTCCTTGCCAGCATCAGGACACTGCATAAATAATTTTCCCATGCCAAGTCTGGTGCTGGGGGTGGGGGTTGGGGGCTGTCCTATGCCATGTTCGGAGGGGGCTAGCAGATGAGGTTGGGGGAGCTCTGTTACAACCCCCAAGGACATCATTAAGGCATGAAAGTGCCACCGGGGCTTGGAGACCAGGGCACTCAGGGAGAGTGTGATGAAAACATGTTTTGAACATCACGTCTTCTCCTTTCTCTTCCTCTCCCCTCCTCCCCACTGCTCCCCTCTCCTCCCCTAGGCCTGTCTTGTGCCATGGCTGGTGCCTGCTCTACCCCCTGTACTTGCTCAATTCCACCCCTTGTACCAGGCCTAATCTGCTGCTTGCCAGTTTGTTAGCTCTCCTGATGAATGAATTTGTGTGTGGATGGCCCTGACTAGCCACAGTGCTGCCCAGATCCCACATAGAAGAAAGCCTTGATTGTGAAACACGGGATTTTAAGAACTAGTCTACACAATTCTAGAAATGTCTTCCCTTACTCCTCTAAACATGTACGTTTCATGAATTCAACAAATCTTCATTAAGCATCCAGTGTATGCCAAACACCATATAAACCCAGGCAATACCCAATTATGGTTCCTGCCCTTGCAGACCTCTAGGCTGGGGGAGGAGTCAGATGTCAACCAAATAATCCATGACACTGCAAGTGATAACCAGCATGGAGAGGCATGAGGTACTATGAGAATGGTTAGTAGCAGGATTTCCCACCCGGGCAAGGAGATCAGGAAAAGCTTCTAGGAAAAAGTGAGGGGAAGAGTGGAGAGAAGGGAGGGCAGCAGAAGATTATGTGTAAAGGCCCCCAAATTGGGGTCCTGGCCCCCAGCCACTGGTGCCTCAGAAAGAGGAGGGACCCTCCATCCCTGCTCCCTGCCTAGCTTTGGATATGCTACAAATGAAGGATGGCCAAAGCAAGACACTGGAACATCTGGTGACCCTGCCCTGGAATGACTCCGCCCATTCTTTCATCTTCTCCAGAAAGGGAAACAGAGGCACAGGCAAGGAATAGGAATCCATAGGTTTAGGCCTGAGATTATACATGGAAAGCAAGACCCCACATTGCTGGCAAAGCCCTCAGGGTGAATCTGCCTAGCTGGAGTCTCACCAGAGGCTCTGCTGAGCTGTCCTACCACGAACCCCATCCCCTCTCGGATCCAGCCCTAACCTGCCACACTCCTGGAACAAGGAGCATGTCTGCCTCCATAGTTGCCTAGAGTGTGAGGTGAGTGCTCCAACTGTGTGCCAGTCTCCACGTCGGTGGGTGTAACGGTCTGTTTTGTACAGAAGCTCCATCCACAGGTTAGGGAAGTATCTCTGCTGTCTCCTGGGTGGGGTGGGGTGGTGGTCCAGTTCCTTCTGCCTGTACCTCAGGGATCCGAGGTTCTTCATTTCTGAAGAAAAGCAATTGAGGGCTCTTTGGAGGAGGGAGCAGGCTTCTTCGTGGCTGTGCCTCCGCCATAACTGGCAAAGAGGTCACGGGACCAATGGAGTTAAATTCCAGCCCTGCTGTGACCCACTTTCCCCCCTGGGTCCACATCTCCTGAGGCCAGGGTGTTGGGTGGGGCCAGTCTGGCACCCCTGCATCCCTGTCTGGGACTTCCCCTAGATGGAAATTCCCAGATCCTAGTGTCTTCCCAACCTTGCCAGCTCCCACCAACTGCCTGTGATCTGTTCGGCTTCAATCTGATCGCCCAATCTGCCAGCTCTGAACCAGACTACATCTACACCTTAGCCCCAGGGCCCTGAGGATGTTGGCCCACACTCTGGGGTCATTTTTGATATTTGTTTGCCCCTTCTAGTGGACTCCTCTGAAGAAAAAAATGTGATATTGGTAGGGGGAGTTGGGAAGGAGCCAACCTTTGTTGAACACCTAAGTGTTCCAGGCATTGTGCTGGGCATATACATTGTTCACTTAACCCATGTAGCAGTCCAGAGAGGTAGCAGCTATCATCCCCATTTCACAGAAGAGGGAGCTGAGAACCAGAGAGGCTAAGTGACTTGCCCAATGTCGCACAGCTAGGAAGTGGCAGAGTTAAGATGGGAACCCAGGTCTTAGGGATCCTGTGCTTCCTTCACCACAGCGGACTGCCTCCTCTTCTGCAGCTGCCTGCTTCTCCGTGAGATGAGAGACTTGGGGGAATTCAACTCAATCCAGTTCAGCAGTTATTGAGCATCTGCTATATACCAGGCACTGATAGGTGCTCTAAATACAGGTAAGGTCTCTGTCCTCAAGGGCAGGTGGGAAAGTTAGGCGTGTGGACTAGGAATATCTAATTTTGACATAATGATTTGAATGAGGTGGCATGGAGAAATGGTGCTTTTATTTTCTCTTTCTAAAAGAGTAAATAAATATGAACAGTGCGCAGAATAAATTAAAATAAAATAAATACCTACTCAACTGCTACCTAAGAAAGGGTACTTCCTACACCTCAGAAGCTCCCATGTGCCTGTTCCATAATCCTTCCCCCCCAAGAAGTAACCATCATCCCAACTTTTGTGATTATTTCCTATCTTTCTGTATCGTTTCAGCACTTGTGTATGCCTCTCTAAACAATATTGCTTAACTTTAACTGCTTTTGAGATTTTATATAAAGGGAATGATGTTGTATTACTCTTTCGTGTCTTGATTATTTTGTGAGGTATACCCAAGATGTTGCATGTAACTGTCTTTTTCATTATTGCATAACATCCAGTCACATGAATATACCACAATCTATTTGTTTATTCATTTTTTAATTTTTAAAAATATTTTATTTATCTTTAGAGGGGAAGGGAAGGAGAGAGAGAGAGAGAAACATCAATGTATGGCTGCCTCCCGTGTGTCCCCCACTGGGAACTGGCCTGCAACCCAGGCATGTGCCCCGACTGGGAATCGAACTGCGACCCTTTGGTTCGCAGGCCCGAGCTCAATCCACTGAGCTACACCAGCCAGGGCTCATTTTAAAATTTTTGATTACAGTTGACATTCAATATTATATTACATTCAGGTGTAGAACACAGTGACTAGACATTTCTATAACTTACAAAGTGATCCCCCTGGTAAGTCTAACGCCCACCTCGCCCCATACATAGTTCTTACAGTACAAGTGACTGTATTCCCTGTGCTGCACTTACGTCCCTGTGGCAGTTTTGTGACTGCCAAATTGTACTTCTTTTTTAAAAAAATATATTTATTTATTTTTAGAGAGAGGGGAAGGAAGGCAGAAAGAGTGGGAGAGAAACATCAATGTGTGGTTGCCTCTCATGTGTCCCCCCACTGGGGACCTGACCTGCAACCCAGGCATGTGCCCTGACTGGGAATCAAACCGGCAACCCTTCGCTTCACAGGCCTGCGCTCAATCCACTGAGCTACACCAGCCAGGGCCCAAATTGTACTTCTTAATCCCTTCACCTTCTTCACCCAGCCCCCCAACCCTGCTCCCATCTAGTAACCTTTAGTTTATTCTCTGTATCTATGGGTTTCTATCTGTTTATTTATTTTGATTTTTAGATTTAAATAATATGGCATTTTTCCTTCTCTGACTTATGGCACTTAGCATAATACCCTCTAGGTCCATCCATGTTGTCCCAAATGGTAAGATTTCATTATTTTTTTTATGGCCAAGTAATATTCTATTGTATATATGTACCACAGCTTTTTTATCTATTCTTTTACCAATGGAAACATGGGTTATTTCCATATCTTGGCTACAGTAGTAAACATAGGAATGCATATGTCTTTTCAAATTAGTATTTTGGATTTTTTTGAATAAATACTCAGAAGTGGGATGGCTGGGTCACATGGTAGTTCTATTTTTATTTTTTGAGGAACCTTCATACTGTTTGCCGCAGCAGCTGATAGTGTTTTTTTACCCGACTGTTGGTGGCTGTTGGGATTATTTTCAGTTTGGACATCGTAATGCTGCTAAGAGCATTTTCGTGCCTGTTTCCCAGCACACACATGCAAGAGACTGTCGAGGCTATAAAACTAAGAGTCAAAGTATATGTCCAGGCAGTCTCAGTTTTATCAGATAAGGCCAAACATTTCCCCAAAATGATTGAACCAGTTTCTCAGGAAGCAAAACATTTTAACCAGGGGCAGGCATAGGATCAAGAAGACCCATATACTTTCTTGTCTGAAACCCTTAGTGGTTTTCCCTTTTTCTTAAAATAAGACCCAAGTCCCGCTGTGACTCCCAAGGCCCCCACCTCGCTCTGTACCTCTGCCCTGACTCCTCTCTGCTCTTTGCTCTTGCTGTCTCCCCTCCCTGGGATTTTCTTCCACTATATGCCTCCATGACTCACCCCTCACTTTCTTCAGATCTTTGCTAAAATGTCATTTCTCAATGGCACTTTCCCTGACCACCACATTTTTAGATTGCAATCTCCAGCACTCCTTATCTCCTTTTCAGCTTTGTATTTCTCCACCAGCCAGACACCTGGGTTCCATTCTGCCTCAGGCAGCTCCCTGATGATCAGCCAGGGCTGGACATACTTTATCTCCCCCAAAACCCTTAAGGGCTGTCATACCTGACTATTTGGGAACTGTCTAGTCACTCTGTCTGATGAATCCACCTCTCTGAGTCACTTTTTATCACAACACCCTGTTTTTTGTTGTTGTTTTTTTATTGTCATTTGCATGCTCTGAAATAAGCTAATGCATTTGTTTGTTTACCTGTTCGGTTTTAGTCTCCATCCCACTTCACTCCTCACTTTTACGAGAGCTCCGTAAGAGAGGAGACCTAGCTGTGGCTATCTTATCCAGGCTGGTTGTCAGCTTCCCAGAGACAGTGGGGCATCCCCACCCCTACACCTGGGACTTGCCCCTTTTGGAATCACCCAGGACTCAGGCATCCTCCCTCCACTGCCACCTCCCACCAACACCCCTGGCTCAGTCTCAGAGTGCTGCTTCTGCTGCTGCTCCTACTGCTGCTGCCACTGCTGCTACTGCCTCCCTCAGTTCCCTTGGGGGACTGTTAGGGAGACTGAAGCAGCTGGTCTGACCACCAGGGCTGGAGAGTAATGGGCTGGGGTCCTTACCCAGGCGATGTCAGGTGCCTGGAGCTTAAGAAATACTTTTTGAATAAAGGCAAAGACTTCAGAGATTATAGCACCTAGCCAGGTGGAGAAAAGAGAAAAGGCGCTCCAAGGTGAAGGAACAGTGTGAACAAAGGACTGAAGGCATGAAAGTGCACGTCGTATTTGAAGAACATGTTCCCGGCTGGTACACTTGTAGTTGGAGGGTTTTCAGTGTAGAGGAGGGCTGCAGGAGAGCATTGCTGGGCAGGCCTGGAAAGGGAGGGCTGGTTGGGGGGGTCTGAGCTCCCTGAAGGCTCAGCAAGCTCAGCAGTGTCTTAGGTTTAATCCTGCCCCCACCTCTGCCCACCTGTCTGCCCCTTCTACTCTTCCTAGGCCCTCCCCTTTACCCAACCCCCAGCCTGGCCGTTCATGCAGCTGAATGGACTTCTCTCTGGGCCTACATCTGGGGCCTCGAAATAAGAAGGCCACCCACCAACAACCTCCTGCACCCTCTGTGCACAGCCCTCCAACTGCCTCTCTTTGTCTATCCTGTCCTTCCTCTGCCTGTGCCTGCCCCTGCCCTGGCTGCCCTCCTCCCACCTGCTCCTGCACTGCCTATCCCTCTTACACAACTACCTGTCCCTCTTGTCCCAGACTCCCTGGCCCACCCTGTACATGCACCTGCCTTCCCTGCCCTGCCTGTCCTGTCTCAACACGTCCCCATAGCCCCTGTGTCCCATGCTCTGGCCCTCACTTTCCCTGTTGCCATCCCTCGCCTTGCCCCATTTACCCTTGTACCAAGGGCCTATCTGCCTGTCCCAGCTCCTGCTTGGGCTGCAGTGATAACTGTGGCTGTGGCCAAGGGCCTACCTGGGGGCCTCCGGGCTCCATTGGCCACCGCAGTTGCTGCTTCACAGGACAACGCGCCTCTCAGAAGCGCTGTCTGATAGTCTAGGTGGGTGATTGCCCCCTACAGAGACTGTCAGGCTGCTGGGACACTTCTGTAGCTGCTTCCTTAGGGAGGAGGCAGAAGCTCTGGGCGGAGTGAGGGGGGCTCACCTAGATTCCTCGCCCAGAAGGTAAAGGCAGAAAGTTGCTCAGAGCCTCTGACCTCCCCCTCAGTCCTGGGGGTGAGAACAGGCATCTGCTTTGAAATTAATTTCTGGGCATGTTCCTGCTGGTTCCAGAAACTCCTCTTCTGCAGCTTTTGGAATGGAAACTCTTCTCAGATCCTCTTCCAAGGCCCCTGAAGGTGAGCAAATTGGCCATTTTCCCCCTCTTGACAGCCCCCGCTGGAGACCCTTCCTGGCTTCTCTGCAGTTCACATAGATTAGATAGATTCTTCCTCTAGAGGTGGTAGTGGATCCTTTGTCTGGGGGCCATTTTTTGCCCCTTGGTCCTTCACCCATATTCCGGACTGCCCCAAGAGTCTCTGGACCCCTTACCTCTCATATTCAGTTAAGCAAAAATGGTTAGTTGTTCTTGGATCAGAAGAGGAGGCTGAGCAGAGGGTTTGTGGCTCCGCCCTTCCCTTGGATATCATGGCATCACACATTTGGTCCTTTGCTTCGAGGAATCTGGCACTCTCTGCCTAAATGTCTTATCTTGCAAATCTCTGAGGGCTCACCCAGCCTCATGACCTCAATCTTCCAGGATTAGTCCCATCTGCAACATCTATGCTCTTCTGGTGTGGGGGTGGGGGAAGCTGGGAACCCTTGATGCAGATTCCCAAAGATCCCATTCACACATAAGCTAGTCGTAGGTCCCCTGTCCCTGGGGGTGTGACTAGAGGTTTGAAGAAGACTCTAAGAGGAAGCTGGAAGTGAGAGTCCAGTATCTGTCCAGGGCTGGGCCCTACATGGAGAGTTGCTGAGCCCTCCTCCACATTTCTTAAGTTCTCTGACTCTAGTCTTTTTCAGTCTTCTTTTTCTCAGCCTCTGTCTCTGGAACCTGTGGTGTTTTTTTTTTTTCCTTTCTATCTCTGTTTATCTTTCAGTTTATCTTTCCATCTTTCCAGGCCATTCTTTCCATTTGTGTTCTTCTATCACTGGGATGTTCTGCCTTCACCTGTCTTGTGTCTTGACATGTGTTTTCCCCACTCTCGATTTCTCTAATTCTCCCTCTATTACCCCTTCTAACTGAAAATACACTTAACATACACATTTCTTTCTTTTCCCCTTTCCTGTCTCAATTTGTGTCTGCGTGTCTAATTTCTTCCTTTGTCTTTCAAGGCACCTCACATCACTCTGCTTTTCTGACCTGTTCTTCTTCTTGGTATATTTCATTCATGATCTCTCATTTCTGTTTCCCTTTCTTTCTCTCTCTTTCAGTCTTCTGTGTTTAGCTGTTTTTTCACTGCCTACCTCTCTCTCTGCCTTCCCCTATCTGGCTCTCTCTCTCTCTCTTTCCCCCACACCCCCACCCCTACAGCACCCTGCACGCCAGGCCTGTCTCATGCCCATCTTATGGTCGTCCAAAGAGCAAGACATCAAGCACTTTAGTACCTGTCTGTCCCCCACACACCCCATATACCCCAGAGTGAGTGAAGGCTGGATACAGGCGCCAGAATAGTTCTTCCTTTCCCCACCTACTATTCAGGCCATCCATCCCCATTCAGCTATAAGCCCAAAACTTTTAAAAAATAATGCTTCTCCTAACTTCTTATTCTGAAAGTTGGCAATTAAAAAGAATTAAGCAAGCCCTGGCTGGTGTAGCTCAGTGGATTGATTAAGCACGGGCCTGCGAACCAGACAATCGCAGTTCGATTCCCAGTCAGGGCACATACCCAGGTTGCAGGCCGGTTCCCTGCAGGCCAGTTCCCAGCAGGGGATGCATGAAAGACAACCATACATTGATATTTCTCTCCCTCTCTCCTTCCCTTCCCCTCTAAATATAAATAAATAAAATCTTTAGAAAAAAAAAAGAATTAAGCATTTATACTGCCTCTCCTGTATAAACTGTATTTCAGGACAGCCAAATAACAGTAAATGGTGCAGAAAACTTATTTACAGAAGTATTTCAACTAACATGGAAGGATATGGAATCAGAAAAATTACCATTTTGCAACCCCTGATGAAATAATGGATCAAACAAGAATATTCAATGGATGAAACAAGGAACGTGGTTGATGGAGAACTCTACAATGGAGGGATCAAGTTGTCACCACTGGCCCCCTGTGGTGAATCCTAGCACTGTTGAAAGGGGCACAGCCACACACTGTGTGCCTCCTGATGTCATGCAGTCTGAAGCACTCAGCTCCACCTACGAAGGGCTCTTGCTAAACGAAAACACTGAACCTGATTCTAATAATAACTCCAGAGCTAATCTCCATTCAACAGGAAATAGTGGGGATGGAAGAACAAGTTAAATGACATAATGAGGAAGTAAGAAGACACATCCAGAATGTGGGATATTCTAAAGAAAATCTGACGCAATTTCTTCAAGTTGTCAATGGCTGGGCAGGGTTGGGGGTGGGTAGGTAAGAGGCGACATAAAAAGACAACCACCACAAGGAACATAAGGACCTTGTTTGGTTTCTGATTTGGACAACCCAATTGTAAAAAGACATTTTCAAACAGTTGGGGACAGTTAATTATGGACTGGATATTTGTGAGGCCAAGGAATCAGTGTTGATTTTGTTAGATCTAAAAATGACTTTGGGGTCCTATAAAAAAAAAAAGGTTATTTTCTAGAGATGCATACTTAAGTATGGAGTGAAGTGACATATTTAATTTTAAATGTTTTGGCAAATAAAAAAGGGCAGAAAGAGTGGCAGAATCAATAATGTTGAATTAAGCGTACAAAAGGTTCATAGAATTATGTTCTCTACCTTTGTGTATGTTTGAACATTTTTAAAAAGATTTTATTGATTTATCTTTAGAGGGGAAGGGAAGGAGAGAGGGAGAGAAATATCAGTGTATGGTTGCCTCTCGTGTGTCCCCTGCTGAAAACTGGCCTGCAACCCAGGCATGTGCCCTGACTGGGAACTGAACCGTGATCCTTTGGTTTGCAGGCCCGCGCTCAATCCACTGAGCTACACCAGCCAGGGCTGTTTGAACATTTTTGTAGTAAAAGTTTTAAATGATGCTCCTCTGGTAAATATGGTTGGTTCCTAGTAACTCCTAGGACACCTTCCCCACCTGCACTGAAAGACTTCCCATGTGTGACTCCTCACACACTGACCCCAGCTCTCCCTGCCCTCTACTGGAAGAATGTACTATAGATGGGTTGGGCTCACAGGCTGCCCTTTATCCCCTGCAGTCTTCTGCTGGCACATTCCTCATGTTTAAGACTTTTCCAGAGGTGCCTCACAGCTCTGAAGGGCCAGGGGAACCTTAAAGAATAAACCTATGTTAAATAGTTCTTAAAATAAACAAAAATAATCCAAAATAATGTAACCTTGCTTTAAGTCTCTCTCTGTCACGTGCTTCGAAACAAAATGCAACTCAGTAATGGAAGAAAACTGGCCTCAGTCCTGGGAAACAGAAGGCAAGGGATGCTAGACTATCCTGTCCTGCTCCCTGGCTTTATTTAGGATGACCTCCACCCTCAAAGAAAAGACCACGTAGAATTGAGGGACTGTGCATCATGAGTTCAAGGAGCTTCAGCCCAGGACTGGGATGGAGGACATTTGGGTCATTCATGCTGATACTCCCTGAATGACCTTGGAGAAATCATGATTTTTGAGTCTGAGTGTTTCTATATGAATGCATGGGAACCACAAACACTTTCTACTCGCTAGAAATTTGCCAGTTAGGGATGAAGGCACTTTGGAGCTTGGCTATAACTCTCAGCTGTTTCCTTTATCACAGGGATTTCTTGAGATGTAATCCTGGTCCCTCCTACCCTCTACCTTCTAAACTTTAGTATAAAGAAAACCAACATGTACTAATGACCTGTGCAACTAAGTGAATTTATTTAATCTTCTCAGAAACCATATGAACTTGGAATTGGAAAGATCTGGGTCACAATTCTGACTCTGCTTCTTACCATGTGAGTCTGGACATGCATAGCTTTCCCAGCTCTGGGGGATAACAATAGTACTGACCTTACGGGTTGTTGTGGCAGGTAAATGACATAATGGGCCTATAGCCATTGGCTCAGGACTTTTTTTTTTCCAGGACTTCTTAAAATAGATCTTAGGTACCTAATAACCCATTTGATAAGTGTTAACAGCCAATACAGGGAAGTACTTTTAAAGTAATTCACATGGATTAATGTATTCATTTATTCATCAAACATTCATTGAATTTTTTTTATGTACCAGTAACTATTTTAGGTATTGGAAATACAAGTGAACAAAGCATATAAAAATCTGTAGGGAGGAGATATAGTAAATAAATAAACGAACACATAGTGTGCTAGATGGTGTTAAGTGCTATGGAGAAAAATGAGCAAAGAGACCTCATAGAGAGTTAGAAGGAAAGCAAATAGATTACTGTGGTGGATGGAGGTGTTGTTGCTATTTTAAACAGGAAGGCCAAGGAACACCTCTCTGATAAAGTGACATTTGAACAGAGAACTGGGGCACTGAGGGCAGGAACCTCGTGGGTATCTGGAAGAACCAGAACCTTACAGGGCACAATGTGCAAAGGCCCTGGTGGCGGTCAGTATAGACAGAGTAGGAGTAAGAGGGAGAATGGTAGATGAGGTCAGAGAAGTAGTAGAGAACAGAACAGAGGGGTTTGTGGGCCATTATAAACATTTTGGCTTTTATGCTTAGTGAGATCGGAAGTCACTGGGGAGGGTCTCAAGATCATACTAAAATTTTCCAAGGTGACACAGTTGGTAAGTAGCAGGAGGTGAGTGGTCTGCTCCAGGCCTGAAGTTCTTAACTCTCTGCTCTTGCTGAACTTTAGCCTTTTTATTTGAGCACTGCTTTCTTTTGACTTCAGATGAAGTAACTGGGACACTGAGAAGTTATGTGACTTGCCCGAGGCCAGACAGCTGGTTAAGTGACAGAGGTGGGATCTGAGCATTTGTCTGCAGCTGGAGTCCAAGTCCTTCACACCACAGTGCCTCCCTCAGGTGTCTGGGCCACACGAACTTCTTGCCTAGAGATCACTACAGTGAAAGAGAGGAGAACAGAAGAGCCCATCTCCGCCCAGGGCAGCGGCGTTAGCCGGGAAGCTCCAGCCCCAGGTTCTCTGGGACTGCGAACAGTCCCATCCCCCGACCCCCCCCCCCCCACGCACAGCCGCGCTCTCTAACCTACGGCACATTGAAAGAGAGATGAAATGGGCCCTTACTTCGGGGTGGCCCAGCAGGTATAGGAGGAATCAGAGGACCGGGTATCATGTGAAGGAGGAGGACGAGGCCCGACTGAAAACAGCAGCCAGCCCCTGCTCTCGTCTTGCCGGCGCGGGCGGCGCACGGGAAGAGACGAAGCAGAGGCGGGGCTTGAGCGCCGCGCCCCCCTCACGTGACGGGACCATCATGGCAGCGACCGGAGGCCTACTCGGCTCCCGGAAGCAGGCTGTGAGGGGCGGGCACGCTGATAGAGCCGGGCCGGAGCCGGAGCCGGAGCCGGAGGCAGAGCGGGTAGGGCAGCGGGCGGCCTGGAGCCGGGCGTGTCCGGAGCCTCCCCGCAGACCCGGGCAGCAGGTGAGCCGGAGTCTGGGTAAGGCGAGAGAAGAGTGTGGCGGCCCTGGGGCGCTGGGCCGGGGCTAGGGGGCGCAAGGGGGTGGCCGTGACCTGGAGGATGGGGAATATGAGATGCACGCGCGTGACCGTGAAACTACTCTAGAGGCCCGCGCCAGCGGGAGGGATGCCCTAGAAGACGAGACATTTAGGGTAAAACGGGTTCCCCAGAAAGGATGGAAGGTATTTGAAGGAAGTATGCGGAAGCTGTTGTGGAAAAGGGCAGCTGCCTCTTAATTTAAGGAGATGGGATTTTTGAGGGGACTCCTTTGCTATGCCAGGCAAGGTTAGCGCGAATGCTCAGTCTTCTCCCAGATCCTCTTACCTCTTCCGTGCCCCACAGTGTCCTAGGAGACCACTCCTAGGGCGGGGCACTCCTCCCACCCACCCAACTGGTCCCTCGGGTCTGAGTTCTGGGGGAGTGGAGTTGAGGGGTGGGCAAGTGCAGTTGGCAGGGGGTAGGGTGGAGGTGCCTTCTGCTTAAACAGCCAGCCCCTTGACAGTGCTGCCTGGGCAATGGATATGACTCTAAAAGCCCCTTCTTTCCCAGGTCGTCCGGGGGCCCGCCATGCTGGTGACTGCCTACCTCGTCTTTGTGGTCCTCCTGATCTCCTGCCTGGGGTTGGAACTGTCCAGATGCCAGGCTAAGCCCCCAGGAAGGGCCTGCAGCAACCCCTCCTTCCTTCGGTTTCAACTGGACTTTTATCAGGTCTACTTCCTGGCCCTGGCAGCTGACTGGCTTCAGGCCCCCTACCTCTATAAACTCTATCAGCATTACCACTTTTTGGAAGGTCAGATTGCCATCCTCTACGTCTGTGGCCTTGCCTCCACAGTTCTCTTTGGACTGGTAGCCTCCTCCCTTGTGGATTGGCTAGGTCGAAAAAAGTCTTGTGTCCTCTTCTCCCTCACTTACTCCTTGTGCTGCTTAACCAAACTCTCTCGGGACTACTTTGTGTTGCTGGTAGGGCGAGCACTTGGTGGGCTGTCCACTGCGCTGCTCTTCTCTGCCTTCGAGGCCTGGTATATCCATGAACACGTGGAGCGGCATGACTTCCCTGCTGAGTGGATCCCAGCTACCTTTGCCCGAGCCGCCTTCTGGAACTATGTGCTGGCTGTAGTGGCAGGTGTGGCAGCTGAAGCTGTGGCCTGCTGGATGGGACTGGGGCCTGTAGCGCCCTTTGTGGCTGCCATCCCTCTCTTAGGTCTGGCTGGAGCCTTGGCCCTTCACAACTGGGGAGAAAACTATGATCGGCAGCGTGCCTTCTCAAGGACCTGTGCTGGGGGCCTGCGCTGCCTCCTGTCAGACCGCCGTGTGCTGCTGCTAGGTACCATACAGGCCCTGTTTGAAAGTGTCATCTTCATCTTTGTTTTCCTCTGGACACCTGTGCTGGACCCACATGGGGCCCCACTAGGCATCATCTTCTCCAGCTTCATGGCAGCCAGCCTGCTCGGCTCTTCCTTGTATCGCATTGCTACCTCCAAGAGGTACCACCTTCAGCCTATGCACCTACTCTCCCTTGCTGTCCTCATCGTTGTCTTCTCCCTCTTCATGCTGACTTTCTCCACCAGTCCAGGCCAGGAGAGTCCTGTGGAGTCCTTCATAGCCTTCCTACTCATCGAATTGGCCTGTGGGCTGTACTTTCCCAGCATGAGCTTCCTTCGAAGAAAGGTGATCCCTGAGACAGAGCAAGCTGGTGTACTGAACTGGTTCCGGGTACCCCTGCACTTACTGGCCTGCCTGGGGCTCTTGGTCCTCCATGACAGTGATCGAAAAACAGGCACTCGGAACATGTTCAGCATATGCTCCGCTGTCATGGTTATGGCTCTGCTGGCAGTGGTGGGGCTGTTCACCGTGGTAAGGCACGATGCCGAACTGCGGGTACCCTCACCCACTGGGGAGCCCTATGCCCCTGAGCTCTAACCCTGTTCCAGGACAAGGGAGCTGGGACAGACTCTTGAATCCCACCTTTTGAGGTTTGTACAGATTTCTCTGTGACTGACTGCAATTATCTGGCCCCTCAGCCTGTTGTTGGGACCCCTCTTGCCAGTGCTTTGGGTTGGGGAGCACATGGGGGTGATGGCCTGGAAAGAAGATGCCAAAAGTTGCCTCTGTGTTACTTCCTTTTCCCTTTTCATTTAAAAATAAACACTTTTAAATGATCATTGACTTGATTTAATCATCTTGACCTGAACCTACCTCTGTGTAGTTTCTGGTAGGAGGGCAGCTGGAGTTTTTGAGGATAGAGGTAAGATTACCAGCAGAAAGTTTATATTTCTAGCCTAAGACTGTATCCAGCTTAAACTGAGAGTTGTAGAATTTTCTCTCAGCAGTAATTGGTGGGAAATGCCTGAGGCTCCTATGTCCTCCATAGGTCTCTCTTCTGGGGACAGACATCCTCCCCAGTAGCCAAGTAAAACCCTTGCTCCACATCCAGGGTGAGATAATCTCTGGAGCACGTGGGGTGAATGCTCAAGCCAACGAGCAAAGATTCCAGGGGCCTGGGCTGCTTTTATGACCACCCCTTGGGGCAAATTCAGGACCATCCTACAGGAAGAAGCCTGCAGCTCAGCACATGCATGCTACCTGCCTTCTGCTGTGGCTGTGAATGCACTATTTGTCCAGCATCGCCTGGGCCCACCAGGTCCTGTGTCCCTGCATGAAACCTAAATAAAGGGCTGCCAAGGGGAGAAAACAGTGACAACTG